GTTTTTACATTGTTACTGTCATTTTTTTAGTGATGACGGTAAGTTAAAGATTTTCTAATATTTTTTGAGAAATACGAAATATATATATATATATATATATTGTTCTCCTTTTATTATCTGATGTTTTGTAGATTTGGCTGATGATGACATGTCAACATGTCGAAACTGGTACCATGTAAATAAAATATAATATTTAGAGAAGAAGAGGCCTTTTTGTCTTTATTATTAAATTATATCTCTAAAACATGAATTTTTTAAAGATTATGAGAGTTGTTTGTTTATGTGCTTTATATCCTCTCCATAAAGAAAAATAAAGAAAATTTTGATCGATGCGAACATACATCCTTTAAGTCTAATTACCATAACGTGTGTGCACACGTCCAATACCATATGCTCGGACGATATAATTACAACAAATTATCATAATTAAAATCCAAATTAGGAAAATTGTAAATTAACCACCGGTGAAAAAAAATCCCCGTTCTCGTGTCTAACGGTTTCTTCGTACATACGGTTTTAAAGGCGTCTCAGGCAGGACATCGGACACATCCTGTAGGCGAGCACGAGCTATTATGTCGATGGGCGCTCGAGCCAACCAAACACACCTCTTGAATATTCAAAATTAATCGTCACCGCTCGGGATGTGGATGAAAAATCGAGCATCCGGCCGGGCTCCTTCGGCGGAAATTATTACCGCATATTTCAGAAATAACTGCCGCGCACGGCCCCACTTCACTCCGAAACGTAACCAACATTTTTTTCACCATATCCCGTAGAGCTAACCAGTACGAAATAGAATCAAATTGCAACGTATAAATTACTTCGGTAATAGCCGCGGCTACAGCACAGCTTATTAATGAGGAACCCGTAATGCGTAATAATTGTAAATCGACCATATCGCTAGCTCTTTGTTACGTAATATGGACACCTGAGCGGGGAAATATTTCACATGTGACACTGTCTATCGATTCGACATTTAATATTTTCGGTATCGACATTAATATTTTACGTTTATAGTAGTCCTATTTGTTAAGCACTTACTACTTAAAAACAAGTTATACACACCTTATTGGTATAAATATATCTAGGACAATAAATTTACCATTTTAGAGTTTCCATTATTTAAATAAATTTCTACTCTAATTGGTTATTTTGATTTAATAATAAATGTGTATGTGCTTATGTGAGATTATAACACTTTTTTTAACAGAATGCAGAACTTGTACATTTTTTAAATTAATAATAAAGGTCTCTTGCTGAGGCTCAGTGATTAACATTATATAAACCTGATTTATTTGGCAGATATTCCAGAAAGTTGGTATATCGTTTAGAAATATAAATATTAACTTGTTTTAAAGATCAGATAAATAATTGTTATTAGAACCTAGAAAATGCAGTAACGTCTCAAAAAAACCTTCTCAATCAATTAAAGAGATGATAGAGCAAAGTCACGTTCTCGATTTAGATTCAAGCGCATCAATTAAACCTGTTCGGTTTTTCTTTGGTAGCGCAGATCCAGTTAATTGTTATAGTCTCCGATCGGTTCGATACACATTTCGCGACCGCTTGTAGATCGGTAGATACTGTTAGAAACTGCAAGAAACGGAAGAGACATTTAAAAGCCGAGAGAGATCCTTTTTATCTGTGCCTTGTACGGTTCGATCTTATCTTAGACTCAGCGCATGTCTTCAGGTGTAACCAAGAGGAGAGGACCAAGATAAGCGTACAAGGCATCTAAAAATTCACGGTTCACCAGTTGACCACCTGTTTCGCTCTGTTTACCGCCACACATTTCATTGCCAGCCGTTCGTACACCCATTCTCTCGGTTAATAAAGCATCGTTTCGGACACCGATTCGATTATTTATTGTCTAACGAGGGGCCCGGAAAGATCGAGATAGACCACGACTAGGTGCTAGATAATTCGGTTTTCGGCGTCGTGCTATAATTACTATTTGTGCTTGATTGGCTACATTGTTGCCGACAAATAACTGCTTCTAATGACATATTTGTTTTTCAACACGTCTCGTCCGTACAAGGAAAAGTAACATTATTTATTACCCTATTGTTGTACCAACGAAGAAGAGTATTTTAATCACTCCATGAGTGTACAGTTAACGATCCGTAAATAATCGATGATCTAGGTTTCTTATACTTGTATACATTACCACACTTTTTTTTATTTATTTACTCATAATGAACAAATCGATTAATCGCATTGAATTATTAATAAATTAACTTTCGAAATCAAAGTAATTTATCATTACAATTAAAAATCTTAAAAATAAATAGATTATCTTTATAAGTAAAGAACAAAAACGTATGTTGATTGAGTTAAAAATAAAAACACTCCATCATGAGTGAGTTAATTGACAAGATAATTACAGTTCGTTATCCACCAACACAGTTATGAAGTGAAATTGCGAATTTTCCTGATTGTTTTGTTTCCACAAAAACAACTGTATTGATGCATGAAATCCATCTTGTTTTCCTTACTAAATGAAACATAATATATTCCTTTAATACATGAGGGATTTTCTCTGGGATTAAGTATTTGCTCCATCTAGAGATAAGGTAATTACAGCAAGATTAAGCTAGAATATCTTCTTTTTCAATTCGCGAAATTAATAAATGTTTAATAAACACGCTCGATACTGATGTATTGCAACGTGAATTGTCCTTATTTAGAAAGTTATCTGTAGTAATTCTAATTGTTTTTAAATACGAATAATCCATTTAAGAGAAAGCTGAGTTTTATTCGCTGGTTTACAGGTATTGATGTGAAGTTATGATAGAAGTGGTTCTTGAAATTAAATCATAAATAAAATAGATTACTATTATTAAATTTTCTTTAACAATACCGTATAATTGACACTTGGTAATCACCTTTCAAATTGAATAAAAGAACCTGTTATGTTAGAAAATGTAAGCATCCATTTAGAAGATTCATCGTATACATCTAACAAAGAACTCCGCTTCCGCAATTATAAAACTGAACTTCGTGCGGAGAAGTCGTGATCAACTTTTTTTTTCTTTCAGTTAATTTTTATTCAACCGTGATTCGCATCTCTAAAATTAATATTAATGAGATCAGAAAGAAGAACATATTATACGTTTGTAAGTTTTACTTATTTTAAATTCTAAATTGTTTTTGTTGCGCTCTCTCTTGCTCGATGTCTAAACTAAATAAGCTTGAACTGAACCATCGAGAAGAATTCTTGTGGTGTTTAATACAAATTAGTTCAAGAATGTTATAAAAGATGTCGAAATGGGTTGTTTTATAGATTTTAACAAATTAAATTGATTTCTGCGTTCAACTTGGAAACTTCAAATTTTGTATAACCTAACTCTAGGAGCTGAAATTTGATATAATATAACCTTAAATATTTTTCAATAACCTTAAAAAGTTTCTATTCTTAATTCCAAAACAGTTTAGAGTAAAAATTTTTTTCTTAATGTTCTTTTTAAATAATGTGACATTCAAACCAACGTTTTATAAAATTTATGATAAAAAACCGTTTAACCAGGAAAGCTAATAGGTTAGTGTTAGTTAAAAATTATAACTTTAGTTGTTCAAGGTCGTTTGCAGCCGAGGCACTACAACATGAATGATATATTATATCAGGATATAATTTAATCAGAGTCTTGGCCGCAAGTGACAACGGCTTAATTAGCCAAAAAATGACCGGTTTGAACAAATTTAAAAAGTAACTCAGACGGTGAAACATATTCTATTTATATATTTTCTTAATTATTATATAAAAAACTTTTAAAAGTTTCTTCTATAAATAGAAAATTCTTATGGGGTTTGTAAAGATGTTAGAAATACACCAAGACGGTGGGTGACCCGATAAAAGCGTTGTTTTGTTTTTACAACCTTTTTATCTATAATTGGATCTTGAAGACGACCTACTGCGAACTTTAGCTTTTTAAAACCTTTCTTGAACCGGATATGAGCCCATCTAAACCTTTACGTTAAAAAATTCGATTGTAAAATATTTAAAGTTGTATAATTAAACAAAATTTATTTCGAAATTTATAACAAAATATTTAACGAAATGTTTGTTCTATATTTTCAAATATTTCATACGATTATGGATTGCGTTTACGAATTTGGGTTTTACGTTATTAATGCGAACCTATTAACTATTACCATTGTATTTGTGAAAGTACAAGCTCGCATTAAACACGATATCTGTTTCTAATAATCACTGTGAATATTTATAATTTTGAAAATTAACTGTTTCCAATTAAGTTGAAAATTTAAATTCTAAAATAACTTGGATGTTGATTGTTTACAAAATTAAGTGGAGATGGTCGGGGTATTTCAACGGTAACAAACTTTACCACAGCTACAACACAACTCAGAATTTGTTAGCGTGATTTTACTTTTGTGTATCTTAGTCTTCTCAGGATCGTATTTTCAAAATGTGGTCCGAGTTTGAACGAATCGTTTTGTTTGTGTAACCGTTATAAAGTAGATCCGCTATTAAATTAAATTATAAACCTTTTTTTGTGTTCTCAATTAAGGTTTGCTTCAGTATCTCTTATAGCTGTGTTTATAAATTGACATTTAATATCTCTTAGACTCTTAGAGACGACTTTTCTCACTCGGAGTTAATTGAAGGGATAGCAATCAGGTTTTAGTTTATTTGAGTTTTGAAGTTACTCTTAGAGGAAATTTTCTCTAGTATCAATAAACTTTCTAAATCTTATAAATTTCTTTTTATATCAAAATTGTTTATGGGGAAAATAAAAATTGGATTGATTCGTTTTGCTGGAATGTTAGTAACGTAATTCTTGGTGCCATTACTTTTGTGATATGGCCGCAGACCTACAATCTTGGTCGACAATAGACGCAACAACACCCAAAATTCGGAATTCGTACGGCTCGTGCGCGTATCGTAACGATTTTTGCTGTCGTCGCGGCGCCTCTACCGGCGCCTCCGCCAAACCGGCAGTGTCCTGCCGACGTCGGGCGTCGATTCCAGGGCGAAGCATGTCAGTACACGCGCGCGCCACATCGCGTATCGTCGTCTCGCGAAAAAACCACGCGTTCGGCAAGTTGTGAAAAGTTTTTGATTGGACCTTTTCTAAACGGATTTCCTAAAATGTTGTGGAAGACATTAGTCAAGTAGTTGAAATATTTGGTTTGTGCTGATAAGTTTTAATCCTTTTTGGTTGTATTATTAAGAAGTTGCACAGTGTCTTGGGAAATAAACTATGGATTTCCCACCTTACATGTAAGGTAAGTTATAGGTTATTTAATTATTAAGTTTTGATACTCTTCTATGTTTTAATGATCCGATACCGGTGTGTTTGGCAAGAAAGTTTGATATACGGTTCCGTGTACGTTTGTTTGCGCCGTCTAAAGCATCCGTTTACACAAGTACACAATTATAGCTAACTAGATTAAAACCAAATCTGGGGCACAAGCACAAACACGTTGCCAACATGAAACGTTTTTCGAAGAAACTGTGTCAACAATCCGCACTTACTCAAAAACAAATTTGCTGAATTTGAATTGTTTTGAAATTATCATGATGTGGTTTTGACTACATTAAATTAATTCCATATTTTCAATAAACTAAACTTTGAAGGAAATTTGCAATTCCGATCTCTCCGCTGGAATTCATAATAGGAAAGTTTCTCATACCTGAGGGGTCATTTTAATTTGACATACATGGATGTCTAACTGTCGGAGATATCAAAGCAGAACATCATTGAATTAAGGGCAACATCGCACGTAGGAGTCCACCAATTGAGTTACTAGACTCGAGCGGGAATTTCGAAATGATTGGCCTATCAATTAAGGTGCGCTCATGTGCATAAATACGTCAATGACCTACCTTCGAAATTAACTCAACCTCCAATTTGGCTACTGTTTAGGGAATTCCACTATTTCAATTAACCTCTTCTTTAAAGATTGATTAATGGTTTTTATTAGAATCGGGTTAATGCAAAGGGATTTACACTGTTAATCGTGTGCATCGAAACTCAGTGCTAATTGAGTTACGCCTTGTAATTCTACAACGTTATTAATTACTCTTTTATGCAAAGTAGTTCAACGTTCACACGAGACATACACAAAAAGGTTAAAGGATAATCAATTTACAAATGGTAACAAGCTGCAATAGTAATAAAGATGAATGAAGTTGACAATGCGTTCATTTATCTTAATTTAAACCTCGCGTGTAACACTTTAACCTTTAAATACACGCGCAATTTCAATTTATAATTTCGCACTATAAAGTCTGAAGATATACGGCTAAACCCGAAACTTTCTAGTTCTAAGTTTAGTGTTAATTCTAGTGCTAGTGTTAGCTCTATTCTTAGTTCTTTTGCTGCGTGAGATGTAAAAGTCCTCCGTGTGTAAGGCTGTGTTGATTAATGCAATTATTAAAATGAAGTAACAGATTTTGTTATTTTTAAAAATTTATTCTTCTCACTTTTAGTACAAACACTTGATTACCGATCTTCCGTTCTATTAACTCTAACTTCTCAACCTTAATTGTTCAAGGCGAAGGATGGGTTGTGGAGAAAGCGAAAGGTAAGGGAGACGAAAATGGGGTTGAACTAAAATTTGATTAAAAGTAACTTCCCTCGGTTTAGAATCAAGACGCGTGAAAGATTCGATAGGTTTAAATTCTTTTCACGTTTCAGGAAAAAAGCGAGTTTTATTGGTACTATTTTATTTATTAAAATTAAAGATGTCTTTAATTGTCTTTTATGGCGCTTTAATGGCATTTTCGTGTATCCCCAAACTAACGTGTATTGATGTAATAAATAACGATCAATTCTAAAAATATATAACGCAGGGTTTTGGGAATTTTTGTATTATACGATTCTAATATAGATTAAATATTGTTATTTATCATTATTGCGTTAAATCGATAAAGAATAATAAAATGAAAAATTCCAAATAAAATTTTTTTTGTACATCTATTAATCCTGACAAATAAAGAATTTAAAAATACCATCAAAAAGAGAGGTGTATTTTATAAATCTACATAAGGGGACAAAAAAGTTGAGCTTAGCACATTTTGAAATTATTTCATTTCCATATATTTACCGTAATCTTTTTAAATGACTCTCCTTCTATTTTGAAAATCAAGGCTTCTAATTTTTTATCCATATCACGCTGCATAGAAATTCAATTAATCCCATTCGTAAATTGTGAATACCTATCCACAATAATATAAATCCAGGTAACAAAATATTTTTTTGTTTCGAATTTCACTTTGTGTGGGTGTAAAATAAAATGAAACACATTTTTAAAACTTTTAATTTGATTAAATCTCTCTGGAAAACTCTTTTATTAGCTGTGTTTGCTAAATATTTTTTAAATGAATTTTCTTAATGTGTTCTTATCGTTTTAGTATTGTGTATGTACTGTTTGGAGTCATAGAAGAATAAGGTTCTAAAGAAATGCAACAAGTTGAAAATAAGTTGTGGAGATTACCCCTCATAATCTCAAGAAAATGTTTTCGTGTGCAAGGCTGACACTGCCTAATGGATAAGGTATGGGGGAATCTAATTTTCTGCAGGTGCTGCGATGTCTGCAGTTTACTCACTTTCGCATTGTTATGGCTTTATCGTCACATGAAGAGCACTTAAATTATCAGTTCGCTTTCTTTTAAACCTGCCTAAATATGCATTCGGAAAAAGGATGGCGATATTCTTGTGATGGAGAAATTTGAGAATCAGTATAAAACCAGCGTATTTTGTGACAAGTGGTTTGGAGAAAATGGATCAATTGGATTAGGTCCACTAACTACAACTTGACTTTCCTTACCTTTATGCTGGCTACGATTTTGACGCCAGCAATAGTATTATATAGCCTATGATGAAATTATTGATTATCAAATTGACGAAGAAGAAGTGAAGAAAGTCGCCAAAATGTGATCAACGCATGTTTATTATATTCAACACATTCGTAATGAATTCCGTAAATGAAACTTTTGCAATTTGTTGGTTTTTGAACTTATTTTTTTTGTGTGCATAACAAGCCGAACTTTCGGGTTGGGTTGAGTTGAGTTGATTCAGGTCATTAACTTTTAATATTCAATGTAACACATTCCTATACAAAATTAACATATTGATAGCGCATAAAACCAAAACGTAACTCAAGATTGTAATTCAACCAACTTAATACGCGATCGTGAATGGAAACGCTGCATTTAGTTACCTTTTCATGTCAAATTATGCACCATTAATAGACGCAGACAATTACACTCTATGGATAGACTAAAAGCACGCAAACGATTTTACTTCAATTGCGGCTGTACATTTCCCTGAAAAGCACTTTTAGCATTTTTAAATATCTATAATAGTAAAACTTATAATTGGAATCTTGTTCAAAATTGCAACAAAATTAATTTGTTGTACGTATCTAGTTTAATTACGTGCCGAAAACGTTGATTAAACTTGTAATTTTTTTTATAATACAATTTACATTTCCATTTCAAAGTAAACTTCAAAGACGAAATTAAACGAATGGTTTCGGTCATTTAATTAAACGAAAACTAAACCGTGTTTCGGTGGTTATAAAAATACCCGGCGTTTATTTTCTTTGTTCCTAATTCAAATGACCGCCCGTTTTAATTTCTCTTCTTTTTCGTCTTAAAGTAAATTTGAGTCTCATTTCTCGCACAATTTTAAAAATATAAAACATCACGTACGATATGATCCTTAAAAATTTAAGTAACCCTCGAGCCGCACTTCTAATTAAAAGTTTCGCCGGGTAATTAAAAATTATACGGCACTCGCTCCCCTTACATTTTCATTGTTTCTTGGAAGCACGACGACGACCCAATTTATTGCCGTCTTCTATTAAGGCGATTGTTTATATTTTTATGTGGTCGTAACCTTTTTTTATGATCTTAAGCGAAAATACTCCAATTCGTCGGGTCCTCTTCAAAAAATCTTATGAAAAGGACTTCTTAGTAATAGTAGTAACATAGACGTCTTTCTTTTTAGATTATATCAACTTAATTTTAACTGTCATTTCAAATTAAATTAAAATAATCCAAGCATTAATTACTGGTTAAGTTTCAAAGTTCAAAATGTTCCATTGTTTCCAGTTCACGATAATTAATGGTTCCCACGTAATCAATACCTGATCATCAATGCAGTAGCTTTGTGAATCTATTATGGTCTTAATTATAATATGTGTTGTTGCTGTATGGAACAATCCTTTTATACTTGTTTGATATTGTGGTTTAGAACGGATGTTCGATATATCATAAAGCATGTGGTCTTTCTTTATTTTCGGAAAGAAATTAAAAGTTGAAATGATTTTGGTCTTTTCCGATCTATAACGACATTTCAAACTTAGTTTATTACACGTGGATCTGGTTTTTGTATGGAGCGACTTGAGCCGTAGTGTCATGGGAGTTTAATAAAACTTTATCGAAACCGTGTTATCCTTTCCGAAAAAGTTTCTATTCTCACCGGGAAATAAAACCGATTTTTTTAAAACAAAATTTAATAAAACAATAACTGCATAAATGTGATAACACTTTTGACTTCAACAATGCTGAGGAAAATAATCAATACAAAGATTAGCCAACTGCAAATGGCCTCTTATCGTATTTGAAATTATTTGTATATCTGATCGCGATACAACACAAACACAATTTGTCTCTGACATTGTATTTCGGATGGTCGTTCAATTTTGTTTTGATGTCATTAATTCTAATGGGTTCGTCAATCGATATAATTTACTTTTCATGCTGATCCTATTATTATCATTTTATTATTTTACCTGTTATTGTTCGTTGTATAGAAACTCGTATTGTAAGCTGATTATTTTTAACGAGGTCTTTAAATATCGTTTACAATTTACTTCTTATTCACAACAAAAGAAAAATACAAATTATTTTATTTCGTAGGTTTGTATTATACAGCCTGATTCAGAGTAAGCGCCTTATTTTTTTTTAGCCACACTATGGGTACTACTTTCAAAATATTTGGCAGTAATATGTTTTGGGTCATTCTCTACACGATGGTGATGCCACATTTTCAATTGGAAGAATTATTTCAAAATGGGGACTGTCAACTTTTTTTTTTTAATGGAATGCCAAAATTTTTTTTTTATTATTGAGGTCTTAAAAACATTCTTTATACGATAGTATTTTGTTTTTCTTAAAAATTCATTTCTTTCCCCATCAAAAAGCACACATTTTAATCTAGTAGCGCATGAATGTTTTACACTCGATGTTATTTTTGTCCAAATATCAAGCAGCG